GAGCTATAAGTTTGTATATCGCAATTCTTAATCCGTAAATGTTAGCTCAATTATTATTTACTTAATAACAATAATGTTTATTCGGCAGGATAACGAAGAGAATAACAAAAAACAAACAAGTAAACATGAAATTATTTATGAAGTCGTTTCGGGTGTTCCCTTATTATTATATGATTTAAAATGAGCCCTACTTTAGTTCTAAACTTATCAAATGTATATGTAATGAGCAATACAAATGATTTTAATATTAAATTGTGTACAATTTCGAAATATATTCATATAACTACATAAGTAGTTGACTATCTATACAATGTATAGCATTTAGTACGCATAATTTCATAGCACCTTTAGTTATTTTTGTTTTCTTGTAAAATATTTCTGGTATTTTAAATGAGTAGACGTTTGCTTGTAGATTTATAGCAAGGGTTTCCATTTTTGTTCATGAAAATTGTTACAATTTGCCATACAAAATATTTATGCTTGATTTTGGTTTTATATGCTTTTTTAATTTTTTTGATAATGATGACGATATGATGATAATAATCCCGTTTATTTTTATCTATTCTTACGATAATATAAATTTTCATAAGGAGTAATTGATGAACTGATTTATCGTCGTTGCTTGTCACAATTTACTGGATAACATTAAAGATTACTTTAAACGTTCTCATTGAGTATTGCACATTTAATTGTAAAAATTTTTTGGTTTTTAAATTTCATAAAATTTGAAAAAGTGCCAATCTGACTTATGATAAAATTGTCAAATTATACTAAATAACAAGTTAAGGATTCTTACTCGCCAAAATTTTTTTTAGAGTTTCTAATTTTTTCAATAGGAAATTTCACCGTATTTTTTCCAATTCAATTTCATTTTTACTGACCGTATTGTGTAAACAATAGGTAGGTTATGTGATGGCAACAAATTTTGCATATCGAGTTTTCGGTGGGAATGCGCTTCTCCATAGTAGGGAAATGTAAATAAACTATTTTTAGCAACCTGTCGGTCTGTCGGTCGGTCGGTCTGTGTGTGCACGCGTGTATCTTAAGTTCGGCTGAACCGATTTTGATGAAATTTTTTATGTAAGTTTATTTCCACCATGGCACGGATTGATCAACTTTTGGTATATGTCAGGCCTCGGGAACTGCACTTTTTAGCGGGCCTGTTTTACATTTTTGAACATTTTGAAAAAAATATTAAACCGATTTACTTGAAGTTTTATATATAAGCTCAGCTCGATCGTCCGCGAATATTCCTATGTTTTGGAAGAAATCAGGCATCGGCAACTAGACGTTTACTACGGGCCAAATATACATTTTTGTGTATATAAAGAGAAATAATCAACCGATGTCATTGAAATTTAATATTTGAATTCCTCGTATAAAACAATGAATATGTAAATTTTTTGGAAAGATCAGGGCTCAAAAACTGATCTGCGGGCCGATTTTACATTTTTCACCATATCCACAGAACAAATTGATGGAATTTCTTGAAATTGGATATTTGAGTTCTGGTTGTTACCGAAACTAACTGGTGAGCATTTCAGGGAATTCGGGTAGCACAAAGCGAAACTCTACTAAGAGCCAAATAATAACAGTAGTCTTTTGCAGAAAAGAAAAAAACTTGTGAAAGTTTTGTGTCGATTGCTTTAATCGTTTTTGAGTTACCGTGCGATCGGAAAGTCCGACGTACGGAGACTAAATTTTACGCTGAGCAAGATTGTATATACATGTCTATACCGGAGACAGGGGTCAAGTGGTAAAAAATTGCATATATTAACTTTTACGAAAGTGCATAGGGTCTAAAAAAATGTCATAAGAATTGTAATATTGTTCCTAAATATTTTCGGTAATACGATGATTAGAAGTAGCGTAAAAAACATGTGCAATTTGTTTATAGTCAGAAATCGCCGAACTTTATCAGATTCAAAGGCCCTTTATTGCATTTTCTAAATATTTTTAAATAAATTTTAAAGTGGTACAACAATGGAAGTTTTCATTGTAAAATAAATTATCTTCGTTTCATTTTAAGAAGAATAATTTTATGTGTGCTTCTGAAATTTTGAAATTTTAATCACCTCTAGAAAATTTTATGTTTGGTGGAGTACTTATATATATAGATTCCTACTTATCTATAAAATTAAAACTCTTAATTCCTATTATCTAAACACATTAAAAAAAATAATTTAAAAAACAAAACAATTTTCACGATACAAAAACATACAACGATAAAAAAAGTAAAATGAACCTTTCATCGCTTTAAAAAAAAAAACAAAAAAGAGATTATGCTCACCACTTCTCGTTCCAATTTTTTTTTCACACACATTATGTTATTGTTTTCATCTGTTTTGATCTTAACATTTTTCAACCAATTTTCATAACTATTGACAGTTTTGTTTTGCTCCTAGCTTCATTGAGAAATCGGCGCATGCCGAATTTCAACTCAAATATAAAAAGGAATTTTTTTACCGACTTTGAAGATGAATTTGGGCACCTTAGGTGCAAAGGATAAAGAAATTATTTTCATTGTAATTTTTTTTTGTTTTTCTTTTCTAAAAAAAGAAATGACAAAAGAGGGTAACCAATGCTTGTTAACACACAACATAAATAAATGAAAGAAAATAAAAAAAATATTTAACCAATCTCTTGTTAGGTTTGTTGAAGCGTTATCTGAGAACAAGAAAATTATTTTGTATTTATTGAATGAAAATGAGTAGATTAATTCTTCCAGTTTGGTAACGAATTTTTTTTGTGTTTTACTTGAAAAACTACGGGAACAAAAAAAAATCCAAATGGGAAGATCTTAAAGAATAAGAAGTTAAAAAGATGATGTTTTTATCTTAGTTGCGATTCTTAATAAAAAAAGTTTTCTTTTTTACTTATTATTTTTTTTGTCATTGATTTTTGTTATATATTTATTATATTACACATATTCTTTGTACATATTATGGAAATTGGAAATGTATTTTGTGCAAACCTCAACCATAAGGAAGACATTGCTATGAATTTTATATTGCAAAATTTTATCCATAGAGTAGAAAATCCATAGCTGCTTCTAAGAAAAAGGGTTTCCTTCGTGAGCCCATATTGCGGATTGCGTTTGACGAGTCTGGAGTCTGAAGTGCAGATTATTAAATCATTTATTTATTTAAGCGTTTTTTGTCGTAATCAAGATTTTATAACAGTTTGATTTTGTTCGGTATCTTTTTATTGTTTGAGGTTTAAGCATTTTTTTTAAATTTAATTATAAATTTAAGTTTTTTAAGAAAGTTATGAAATTTCATATTCCATCTGTTAAGGGAAAAGTAAGGCTTCTTTTGAAAAATATTTGAATAAAATTTGTCACAATTTATAAATTTACATAAAGAATTTCTATACAGCGGCTTTTAAATAATTGTTTACATGCTTTAATTTAAATACTCAATTTCGAATATTTAAGCTACTTCTATTTACATAACACGTACATATATTTTAGATGAAATACCTTTGAAAAGACGCTTCAGTTTTCTCTTGGTATACATAATTGCAATTTATAAAAAACTAGATCTTTGAGCGAAATTTTTAATCCAATTGTTTTTGAACTAAAAAATTATATAAAATGTTTTCTACTCATCGTATGCAATAATTTAAAAGCAAAGATATAAAATTTCAAGCAGATCAATGCGGCCAAAACTAAAGTACAAGAAGTACTCAGTGTGTATCACTAAACACAACTAACACTGCCAGGAAGACCAATAGAATTCGGTTTTATCTAGTATTTTGACGTTTCTGTGGGTGATTGTCGTAGTGGAGCAGTAAGGAATAAAAAGGAAACACGCCGTCCTAATTGCAAAAAAGTGAATAGTCAAATATTGGAGTATTGGTGTAGTAGTGTATGTTCAGTCGTGAAGTAGGTCAACTACAACTTTTATTACGCCATTGTAAAAGTACGAAAATGTCATTTTAAAATGCATAAAACATATTTATATTTACAAAGCAGTAGTTACAATCGTTTCGTGGATAATGAAATAGTCCATTATCCATGAAGCGGTTATCCTGGAACAAAAACTAAAAAGCTTTAAAGATAAAGTTGGCACTGAAGCAAAAGGGTACTTAATTTATATCCCGTATGAGCTTGGAGGATGCTCTATCATGAGCGTTTTGTAAGACAGTTTTTAAAATACAAATTTGCAATTGAATTCGGTATATTTCTGACTCAATGAATAATGTTTTTAATAATTCCCCCTCCCCCAAATTTTGAAGTATACAATGTATATATGTAGGTATGTATGTATAAATATAAGATTTGTTATAATATTATAATTGAAATAACAATACATGCATATTTTTAACATACATGCATATCGGCCTTGAAAGGAAACTTCACTATCTGTAAAAACTTGCCTTTTCAGAAATCGTGTTATTTATAAAACTCAAATTTTTACTTTCCAAAACTAGTAAACGTACATACATGATGTAAAAAATTGAGGAAATGTACAAATATATAAATCAGCAAGTAATAAAGGGTGAAACAGAATGCGGCACTGATTTTAATATTTTTCTTGAACTTTAAATAATTATTTATGAAATCTGGATAAAGTTTCAGACGTCTTGTCAAACATGTTTGATTGGTAAACTGTTAGGTGACAATGTAAAAGATTGTAAGGTTATGTTTTTTTTAAGAATCTTATAAGTATTATAAAATCTTACACATTCTTGAATTTAATCTCAAATAGATTTTGACTTTCAGATATTTCAAATTTCATTTGGATGTAGGTTTGTGCGTGTATACCTATTATTTTTATTTTTTTACATAAATTGTTAGCAAATGGGAAAATTTGTTTCTAACTTGTGAGATTAAGTGGTTTTTCTTGTTGTTTCTTTTCTATAATATCTTACAGATTATCGCAATCTTAAGTTTAATAACATAAGTACTGTTGTATAATTATTTTATTTATATAAAACTAGTTTTATGAGAAATTTTAATAACTGAACCGATTTTTTTTTAATTTCATGTTTCACAGCTCTATGAGATCAATGATGATCCAAAACGAAAGGAATTTTTAGATGACTTGTTTTCGTTCATGCAAAAACGAGGTAAGTGATAGTTAAATTTCACAAAATCTTTAAATTTTACAAAAAAAAAATTATTTTAATAAAGAAAAGAGCATAGATTTTTATTAAAATGTTATGAACTCTAAATAGTTATATGCAGTTTATATTTAACCCCCAAATTAAAGATGTTAAACTGTAATCGAACTAGATTTTTATTTGTTCCAAACAAGATTATTAAGATGTGAAATAAAAAAAATATTTTTTTTTTCAATGTGGGATTAACAATACTTAAGATAAAAAAGTACATAAAATTATATTTAAATTGTGGTGAATTTAATGTTATAATTTATTTATATAAAATAAAATTTTATTCCACATTTTTTTTACAATTTGATGAGTTTTCGCAAGAAGAAAAATCTGATATGGTCAGCACATAACCGACCGCAATGTGTATTGTCTAGTTAAGTGAAAGTGTTACTCAAATATCAAATTTCAAGAAATTCCATCAATTCGTTCCGTAGATATGGTGAAAAATGTAAAATCGGCCGGCAGATCAGTTTTCGAGCCCTGATCTTTCCAAAAAATTTATATGTTCATTGTTTTAATCCGAAGAATTTAAATATTAAATTTCAATGGTATCGGTTGATTATTTCTCTTTATATACGCAAAAATGTATATTTGGCCCGTAGTAACACCCGTAGTTGTTGATGCCTGATTTCTTCCAAAAGTTAGGAATTTTCGCGTACGGTCGAGCAAAGCTTATATATGAAATTTCAAGTAAATCGGTTGAATATTTTCTTCAAAATGGTGAAAAATGTAAAATAGGCCCGCTAAAAAGTGCAGTTCCCGAGGCCTGATATATCCCAAAAGTTGATCAATCCGTGTCATGGTGGAAATAAATTTACATATAAAATTTCATCAAAACCGGTTCAGCAAAACTTGAGATATACGCGTGCACACACAGACCGACAGACCGACAGGTTGATAAAACTAGTTTATTTACACTTCTCTACTATGGAGAAGTACGTTCCCACCGAAAACTCGGTATGCAAAATTTGTTGCCATCACATAACCTACCTATTGTATACACAATACGGGCGGTAAAAATCAGAGAGAAAGGATAAACTAAGAGAAACAGGGGCAATGTTACTTTTACGCCTATACATAAATTTGTATAGAGTTCCTTATAGTCTAAAAATATTTGGAGAAATTAAAAGAAAAATGTGGTTTAAAAATTAAACAACAGATTGTGGTGTCATTTCATTGGTGATAAAAAATCTAATAGAAACTCATTATGATACCAAAAATTATTTCTTGGTAGCCTAGAATCTCTAACTGCTGAATTAAATGTCATTTTTTAGCATATTTCCATTCACGAATTGTTTTACTCGGTTTCGGTTTGCTAAACTTGTAGCAATGATAGTTGTAAATATATATATGTTCTAGATCAAAAGCCCTATGAACATTGCTGGAGTGACAACGGGGCATACTGAAGCGGATAGCTGATCTGATTGCGAGCCTTGGAACCTGATATAACATCGGCATAGTAAAGGAACATGAACGATGGGTTTGCGGAGTGTGAGAAGAATGATGGTGGGGTTTTGGGAGGGAGATGTGTTAAGAACTGTTGGTTGGGCGGATGAGTAAAGATTCTATGATTCCCGGCAGTTTTAACACTAGATTCTAAATTTCGCGATTATATCAGCTGCCAGTATGCCCTCTTCAACAATTTGACACTCCTCAGGAAATATGCTAATGAAACATCCATTTGACACTTCTCAGGAAAGAACATATTTATATTTACTACAAGTGATAAACGATTTGCTTTAAATCTTATAGTTATATTGACTTATTGCTTACTGAAAGAACGAAATACATAGTAGATTTTTTGCGAATTAAGAATTTACTCTTATAGAGATCAAATTTAGTTTTGTGATTTTGTCTAATTAAGGTATTATCAACAATTAAAATCTTATATACTAGCCTTTTATTCTGAGAGAGGAAAACAGTAAATCGGACTTCAGACACAGAATCGATAGGATTTTTAAAATCTTTTTTGGTGATATTGGAATACAGAAATACATGCAGGAACTAATTTTCATTTTTGAAATTATCGAGGAAGATTCATAAAAGTTAACCAATTTTATTATTTTATGGAAGATATGATGGATGATATGATGGAAGATATCATTTTATTCATTTTGCCACTTTTTACCGACCGTATTGTGTATACAATAGGTAGGTTATGTGATGGCAACAAATTTTGCATATCGAGTTTTCGGTGGGAATGCACTTCTCCATAGTAGAGAAGTGTAAGTAAACTATTTTTAGCAACCTGTCGGTCTGTTTGTGCATGCGTGTTTCTCAAGTTCTGCTGAACCGATTTTGATGAAATTTTATATCTAAGTTTATTTCCACCATGGCACGGATTGATCAATTTTTGGGATATATAAGGTCTCGGGAACTGCACTTTTTAGCGGGCCTGTTTTACATTTTTCACCATTTTGAAAAAAATATTCAACCGATTTTCTTGAAATTTCATATATAAGCTTTGCTCGACCGTCCGCAAAAATTCCTAACTTTTGAAAGAAATCAGGCATCAACAACTGGACGTTTACTACGAGCCAAATATACATTTTTGCGTATATAAAAAGAAATAATCAACCGATTTCATTGAAATTTAATATTTAAATTCTTCGTATTGAAACAATGAACATATAAATTTTTTGGAGAGATCAGGGCTCGAAAACTGATCTGCTGGCCGACTTTACATTTTTCACCATATCTACGGAACGAATTGGTGGAATTTCTTGAAATTTGATATTTGAGTTCTGGTTGTTAGCGAAACTAACTGGCAAGCATTTCAGGGAATTCGGGTAGCACCAAGCGAAACTCTATTAAGAGCCAAATTTACATTTTTCTAGGTATGTTAACTATAAGCTTACTAATGTCCTAAAAATTGGAAAGAAGTATTTAACAGACTTTTTTATAATATTCTGTAAAACTTTCACTCAATTCAATTTAAAATCAATCAGAATTCATCACTTCTTATCATTTAGTATACAATATATCACCATAACATTTAGAAATACAATAAACGTTTTTTACCTAATTTGATCTTCCATATGACTCGATAAAATCAATATTTTTGATTTAATTATTTCGATATTCAACTATAAAATAATAAATAAAGGTAACCAACACCGTTTAATTTACTTTTTTTTCTTATTTTTTCCCCTTTATGTAACACAAGACAAAAGGAGTGGTAAAAAGTTTGTAATCGCTATGTAATGTTTTCTTATTATATTAAAACGTGTAAATGAGTAACTCATAATAAAACAAATATCTTGTACAACCTTCATAACAACTGAACATTTTTAATTTAATTGTGTAAAATACATGAGTCCTAGTACATAATATGTTTATTGATAATTGACAGTGTATACTTGGTTTATTGCGTCGAAAGTTATTAATTTCTTCCTTAAATATTCCCTTTTTTCCCTGTAATTTTTACCGACCGTATTGTGTAAACAATAGGTAGGTTATGTGATGGCAACAAATTTTGCATATCGAGTTTTCGGTGGGAATGCACTTCTCCATAGTAGGGAAGTGTAAGTAAACTATTTTTAGCAACCTGTCGGTCCGTCGGTCTGTCAGTCTGTCGGTCTGTCGGTCTGTCGGTCTGTCGGTCTGTCGGTTTGTCGGTCTGTGTGTGCGCGCGTGTATCTCAAGTTCGGCTGAACCGATTTTGATGAAATTTTATATGTAAGTTTATTTCCATCATGGCACGGATTGATCAACTTTTGGGATATATCAGGCCTCGGGAACTGCACTTTTTAGCGGGTCTGTTTTACATTTTTGAACATTTTGAAGAAAGTATTCAACCGATTTAGTTGAAAATTCATATATGAGCTTTGCTCGATCGTCCGCGAAAATTCCTATGTTTTGGAAGAAATCAGGCATCAGCAACTTGGCGTTTACTACGGGCCAAATATTCATTTTTGCGTATATAAAGAGAAATAATCAACCGATTTCATTGAAATTTAATATTTAAATTCTTCGTATTGAAACAATGAACATATAAATTTTTTGGAGAGATCAGGGCTCGAAAACTGATTTGCGGGCCGATTTCACATTTTTCACCATTTTGACGAAAATATTTAAACGATTTACTTGAAATTTCATATATGAGCTTTGCTCGACCGTCCGCGAAAATTCCTAGCTTTTGGAAGAAATCAGGCATCAGCAACTGGACGTTTACTACGAGCCAAATATACATTTTTGTGTATATAAAGAGAAATAATCAACCGATTTCATTCAAATTTAATATATGAATTCCTCGTATTAAAACAATGAACATATAAATTTTTTGGAAACATCAGGGCTGGAAAACTGATTTGCGGGCCGATTTTACATTTTTCACAATATCTACGGAACGAATTGATGGGATTTCATGAAATTTGATATTTGAGTTCTGGGCATTACCAAAACTAACTGGTGGGCATTTCAGAGAATTCGGATAGCGCGAAACGAAACTGTACTAAGAGCCAAATTTACATTTTTCTAGATATGTTAACTATAAGCTTACAAATGTCCTTGAAATTGGAAAGAAGTACTTAACAGACATTTTTATAATATTCTGTAACACTTTCACTCAACTAGACAATACACAATGCGGTCGGTTATGTGCTGATCACATCAGATTTTTTTGATTTATTTTGCATTTTTCTTCTGTCCCACGTTAAATTTTTAGTAATCCATGGATAATAGTAACTAAAGCTATTCGTGTTCACATTATTGATATTCTGCGATTATATATGCGCAAAATACTTCTTAAGAAGACCATAATTCAGGGATTTCTGTGAAAACAAAATGTGTTAGCTTTAAGCCATTATTCCTACCACTGAATTCAATTGTTATTTCTCTTTTTATGCATACATAGGTCTTTTGATCGACATACAGATTATCTTTTCTTAAATGTTAGGCATTAATTACATAAAGTCTTGGAAGTATACTTTAATAACATTTATAATTTAAATGAG